AGCTTGAAGGCTCAAGCCATGCTATTTTGGGAATCTGTGGAATTGTGTTCATTGGATAAAGTTCTGCTATGCTATGTGTGTCATTCCAAAAAAGAAGCTTCTCTTGTAACTACTAGGACCTGGTCAGTAGCAACCCACTATTATGAAATTGCCTCACCCAATCTACTTAGATTGTCCTTTCTATGGCAATTTAAATAAATAATAATAAACAAAAACTTTAGCTTTTCCCATACAGTTCTGTTATTTTTATTCTGTTATTTGTCTTTTTGTGGAAGTGTTATTTTTTTTGCCTTTATGTTTCTTTGTATTTTTATTACTGCACTATTTATTATTTTAATTTAATTGTTTCCATAATGTTTGCTATGTCATCGTTGGGGTGACATTATCCGCTGTGATCCAATTTGATGGGAGTGTTGCTATAAATAAAAATGTAAAATAAATAAATAAATAAATGTATCATTGTGTGAAAACGGCATGCTTTCATCTGATGGATAGCAGCTGCTCAATAGCTATGGCTAATTTAATTATTTTAATTATTGTATTAAACTTCTAGCCTATTTTTCCTCTGGTAGATCTGAGCAGGCAGTATATACCTGTGTCTCTGAATAATTTCTAAGGCCAGGCTGGATTAAACTGTAGCTGCTGAACACCTCTATGGCTATATATGGGGCTTCTCCAGGGGTGGGATTCTACCAGTTCACACCTATTTGCTAAAACCAGTTGTTAACATTCTAAGCAGTTTGGAGAACCAGTTGTTAGAAGAAATTACTGGCCTAATCCTGTAAGGAAGGCAGGAAGAAAACATTCTGGTGTTGCTTACAGAAACTGCCTCTCCGTTAACCCTTATTACATTCTTGGCAGGACTAGACTTCCTGTCTTTGGAACTTCTCTGGAGGTTTTTTCCCTTCCTTTACTAGTACTTTGCTTGTGTGGAGTGACCATTCAAACTTACAATGGCACTGAAAAAAGTGACTTATGACCATTTTTCACACTTATGACTGTTGCAGCATCCCCACAGTCATGAGAGGCCAGGCGAGGAGATGCGTGCCTCGATGTGAGTGATATTGAGTTGGCCATGCCTAGTCAATAACATGACCACCAAGCCATGTCCACCCACGCACGGCCACCAAGCCACGCCAAAAGAACCAGTTGTTAAAAATTTGAATCTCACCCCTGGACTTCTCTCTGGTGGTACCTGGCCCTTGGGAAGCTTCCCATCCACCAGGATTCCAGAAGGTCCAGCTCCTGCCTGAGGCTTTATGGCCAGGAGGATGAGTGGGTCCTGTTTGCCTTCCTTGAAAATTTTGGTGAAGAGTTGATTATTTTTACTTGACATCTTTTATTGTTTTTTTTTAACTGAGATTTTTACTTTTATGTTTAGTTAGCTGCCCAGCGTTAAGATATCATTTGAAAGATGAATACATAAGTAAATTTGTAGGTCACACCAGAGAAGAACTGATGGTATTTACTAACTGGTAAAAAAGAAAAATCACTACACTATTTTAAGCATAGTGTACAGGAATGAAATTATGCATGAATCAATAATTCCTTAAGCCCATATGGTAATTCTACCCTACATTAAACATTTTGAACAGATTTTACTACTGGCTTAGAGGAACAAATGGTATTTTCAAATAGCTGGCTTTCAACTAATTTGGGTATATTTTAGGCATCAGAAAATTATAAAGATGCTCTGTCACTGATGATGGATTCATAAACTGTTCCAAGAACCAACAATGTATTCATCTCTTTAGCAGCCACAGTGCCATATGCTTTGGGAAAGTTTAATCAGAATTCTTATCAGAAGTGAAGGTTTTTTCCCTCCTCAGAAAGAATAAGTAGATGTTTAAACATTTCCAGTGTGATTTGCTTTATCGGATTAAGCTCCTGGAACACTATCGTTTTGTTCAAGTCAGTAGTTACACCTGACATGAAAACAATAGCTAACTGTCAGAGGAAAAATAAATTGTTATCCAATCATAACATATTGGTAATTAACAGAAATACTACTGTTAAAGAGGAAATTATATTCTGTGATTTTAAGACATAATACACTGCTGCAGATTGGTTTATGGTAATAAAGCAAAAGAAATATGTATATATTATAAAATCTTTTTTACAAAAAAATTATAAAAACAATGCAGGTTTTTTGTCCTCTGTGCTTCACGTTTTAATACTAAATTATCCATATCCACAGTTATCCTATTGTTTCAACTTGAAATGGTTTTAATTTCTGAAGAGGGGGTTTGGAATTTGAAGGCTTTAGAAATGAATGTTTTTTATTCCAAAAATCTGAGGCTGACAATATACTGAAGCAAATTTACTACAGGGATTTGTCACTAATAATGAAACCTGAATTTTGGAATATGTTCTGAAACAGTACAGGGGAAAATAAAAATCTGTATTAGTTTAATCATCATAAATTAAAATGTATAACTATGCTGGACTAAAAATTGTAGCTAAAACTGTATTGTAGCTAGGAAAGAAAGTCCACTCATTGAACAAAACATTAATTGAATTGGTTGTTTAGGATTTTTTTCTGAATAAGGACAAAAAAATCCATTCTTTAACCTGATCATTAAAAGATAAGAGAACCATAAAATATATGGCTCTTTATCTATCTGGAACTTAAAAGATTCCTATGCTTTAAACTGGTAATTTGTAATTTTTTAAATGGCCCCAAAAATAGAAGAAGAGGGAACAAAAGATCCATCCAGGAATTCATAATCTTTAGCAACAAAACGAAACAAAAATTCTCCAGTCCTTCTAGCAGTTTGAAAGCATGCAAATGCGAGTAGATTAATAGCTACCACTTTGGTGGGAAAGTAATAGCGTTCCATATGCCTTTGGCATATAGCGCTGGTGGATACATGACTATGGGAAATGTCTTTGGACAACGCTGGCTTCCTGGGCCAAGAAACAGAGATGAGCACCACACCTGATGCATCTCCATTCCTGGAGTCAGACACAACTGGACAGGGAAACCTTTACCTCTAGCAACAAAACTTATGACTATTAAGAAGGAATGCTTCTACACCAGGCTTGTCCAACCCGCGGCCCATGGGCCGCATGCGGCCCAAGTTGCCTCGTAATGCGGCCCAATGCCCACCCCAACCATCGTGCCACAGCCAGCGAGAAGGAGGAAGAGAGGCAGGCGCGAGGCGGGGCGAGGCGAGCGCCAGGCCAAGCAGCAAGAGAAAAGGCAGGCTCCGTCAGAACGCCACCTCCTGCTGTTACCGCCGCCGCTGCTGCTTCTGCCCCCGCCGCCGCTGCTGCCCCCGCCACCGCTTCTGCCCTGCCGCCACCCCTCCCTCTTCTGCCCCACCGCCACCCCCGCCGCTTCTGCCCCGCCGCCACCCCCGCCGCTTCTGCCCTGCCACTGCTGCTGCTTCTTCCCCCGCCGCCACCCCCGCCGCTTCTGCCCCGCCGCCACCCCTGCCGCTTCTGCCCTGCCACTGCTGCTGCTTCTGCCCCCGCCGCCGCTGCCCCCACGGTGGGGGAAGAAGCGGCGGCGGCGGCGGGGATGGTGGCGGGGGCAGAAACGGCGGCGGCAGAAGCAGCAGCGGGGGCGGGGGAAGAAGCGGCGGCGGCGGCAGAAGCGGCGGCGGCGGGGATGGTGGCGGGGGCAGAAA